TTGTTGCACCGTGTCAGTTACATTGTAACAAAAGTGCTGCCGCTCCTCCAGCCCGCACTCAGGCCCGCCCGCCGCCAGCTGTCGCCGACATGGAATCCGTGGCCAGCAACATCCAGGTTCTGCTGCAGGCGGCCGAGTTCCTGGAACGCCGCGAGAGAGGTGAGGCGGAACCCTTGGCTGGACCCCAGGCGGCGACCTTGCTGACACGGGCCTGGGTTAGACTTGGCTCCCAACTTGGAGGATGCATACCTGGCTTTAACGCAGTAGCCCCGGGGCACCCCCGTCTTAAAATGGAGAGGAGTCCTCGGTCGGTCGGGCTGGCGGGTGTTGGGGATATGGTCCTGGCGCCCAAAGCCCTCGCTGACCGTGCCATGCCAGGGGCGCCCGCTGGGACCAGATCCAGCCTGACGCCGACGCGGGCTCTCTCTGGCAGAGGCTGAGCACGGATACGCGTCCCTGTTCCCGCACCGAAGTCCAGGCCCCGTCCACAGAAAGAGGAAGGGATCCCCCCAAGCTCTTGGCGCGTTGGACAGTGGGCGGTGAGGAGGGCGAGGGGCGACGGGGAGGGGGGATGGGCGCTGTCCCTCCTCAGCCCACTTCCTCCTTGTTGCTTGCGCCTTCTGGGCCAGGTACCTACTCTGGAGACATTCAAACCCCTCCCCTTCCTCCAAACACACCCCTCTATTCATTCAAAGACTATTTCTTGAGCTCCTCTGATGTGAACAAGGCAGTTCTGGGTCCGGCTTCCACTCACACTCCTATACTCCACCTATCACATCACTCACTTTCCCCCCCAGGCTTCCTCCTTTTCTCTCTTCATCTCCACCCTTTACACAAGCTGTTCCCTCCAATTGGAGTGTCTTTCTCCACTACCTGCTTTGGGTAACCTGTGTTTCTGGCTCAGCTCAACTGTCACCTCTGTTTGCACTCCACAGCTACCTGGGCAGGCCTCTTTCAGCATTTGCCCCTCAGCCCCACCCCCTACCAGCTCCCCATGAGTCTCTGCCTCCACCTGGCAACTCAGGTGCCCGAGGCCAGCACAAGGTTGCCATACTGCGCTAGATTGGGGCAGAGATCTGCAGTGGATTTCGAGCCTCTGGGAACCTGGGACTGAGGGTGTGGGCAGCAACTGATGGCCCCTTACCCCATCCTCTCTGGCATTGGCAGGTCTGTGCACAACGAGCTGGAGAAGCGCAGGTGAGTCCCAGCCATGCCCTGACAGCATTGGGCCTCAGGGACTGTCTTCCTCTGGCCTTCCCTCCCCTGTCAGCCCTCTAGCTATCAAGGCTGGGCTGGCACTGCCCTCCAGACCCCTTCCCCTGCAGGAGGGCCCAGCTGAAGCAGTGCCTGGAGCAGCTGAAGCAGCAGATGCCCCTGGGGGCTGACTGTGCCCGATATACCACACTGAGCCTTCTGCGCCGGGCCAGGATGCACATCCAGGTAGGGAGCTACCTCTGCACCCAGGAGCCAGGTTACCAGGACATGTGGAGAGGTGTAGCAGGGAAGGGCTCGGGTGACACACTGGGGAGAGGGGCCCATTGTGCTTAATTTTGTTAAATGGGAAGAAAAGCAAAAAATAACTCAGGATTTATTGGGCAAATGATGTTAAGCTTCATTTGCCCAATAAATGTTCACTGTTGTTGTTACAGCTATTACTACCTCTATTTCAACTGTGACGCTCTGGGCCAGGCACTTAACCTCTCTGGACTTCCTTTCCTCCTCTGTATGGGGAGGCATGCCTGTTGAAGATAATGTGATGGGTCGTGTGTAAGGGTCCCTTAGACTGTAGAGGACTGGTCCTCGCTCTTCCTCTCCCCATCCTTCAAGGTCTCCTGTTCTGGGCAGTCTGTCCTGAAGCCACTTTGGGAGGTAGCTCCAGAGGCCAGGAAGCCTAAAGGACCGGATGGCAGTCACCATTTTCCCGGGGCTCTTGCTGCTGCCCCCTGGCGGACATGAGTAGTGTGTGCAGACTCAAAGCCCCAGGCAGCCCCAGAGAGGGGATTAGGAGGGGCCTTGGAAATAGAAGAGGCCTTTCTTGCCCTCTCGGTTCTTCAGACAGAGGAAGAAATGGAGGGACAGATTCAGAACCCAGGCCCAGGTCCCCTGACTTGCATTCTTTCCTTCAAGAAGTACTGAGCACCTGCTCTGCTAGGCCATTCTAGGTATCTGGGCTGTGACAGACAGATGGATATGCCATGTAGTAAATAAATCACAGTGTGGGAACTGTCTGCACTGTCCCAGAGGTGCCTGCATTCCCCTCATGGTGCCTGAGTAACACCCTAGCTCAGTGGTCGCGAGCCACATGCGGCTCTTTGGCCCCTTGAGTGTGGCTCTTCCACAAAATACCATGTGTGGGCGTGCACGTACAGTGTGATTGAAACTTTGTGGCCCATGCGCAGAAGTCGGTTTTCGGCCTGGGCGAGTCTATTTTGAAGAAGTGGCATTAGAAGAGTGGGGGGTGGACATAGAGAGAGGATGAACGAAAGGAGATAGACGAAACAAGTATACAAGACGAGTGTGGATGGGAGAGTTGGAAGGGGTCGACCTCAGCGAACGTACCTCAATCAGATTGAGAACGTTTTTAGCAAAGGCCAGCTTAGGAATACCCTAATTAAGTTAAAAACAGTGTACCTACCTATATAGTTTAAGTTTAAAAAATTTGGCTCTCAAAAGAAATTTCAGTCGTTGTACTGTTGATATTTGGCTCTGTTGACTAATGAGTGTGCTGACCACTGCCCTAGCTGAACAGCAGCCTGTTTCTCACGTGGGGCTCGCCTGGCCTGGGTCTTGGAGGGATGGTATGCCCCTCAAGTGCAGACTGGTGGGTGGGCAGGACCTGTGGATTGCTCCTTCCTGAAGCCCCATCACCTCGCCCTGTACTCCCTGCATCCTGTTCCGCCTTGCCTTAGGATTTCTTTGCTGCACACAGATCTGTCCAGGTGCCTTTTCTGCTGAAAACCTTTCATGGCTCCTGACAGGATAGTCTCAGTCCTTACTTCCTGTGAACTCAAGGCCCTTCACCACTCAACTGCTGCCACTGGCTGCTTTTGTAGTCTCATCTCCTCCCTGATCCCCACCAAGAGCCGAATTCTTGGTGCTCTTCCCGGCCTCCCTCTGCCTGAGTGCTTCTCCTCCCCCATCTTCACCTGAGCAGCTGTCACTCATCCCTCCACACTCAGTCCCAATGTCCCTTCCCCATGCTCTCCTTCTTGTTGACTGCAGGCTCCTGCCCGCCGAGGGCTCTGATGGGAGAACTCTTGGTCTTTGAGTTCCTAGTACTCGGGGCTGGCAGAGCTCTGGTAGGGGTGGTGGGGAAGAGGGGGCAAATTAATGATGAAAAAGCCTTAGGGTTCCTAGGAGGGTCTTGACCAGGAGTTACAAACTGGTAGCCTTTGTTTAGTCTACAGTTTCCTAAAAGTTTAGCTACTTGGCAGCACTTAAGAGGACATTTGACATGAAAAATCTGACTTTCCAGCTCTCTTAAAGACACCGAGAGATCGGACCACACTGGGCCTCTTTCCACGTGATTGATTGGAACCTGGAGGTGGCTGCCTCCTTCAGCTGGAGTTCACACTTGCCATCATGTCACAGCCCCTGCCACACCCCATCCCTGTTGCTTGATACCGGCACTCATCACTCCACATCTCCTATCTAGGCCTCACCTGACTAAACCCTGAAGTTCTTTTGAGACTGTTGCCCTCCCTCCCCTGCCCAGCTAGACAGAACTCAAGGGCCATTTACATGGGACAGAAAGGCCTGATTCCCTGGAGGATGTGGAGGTAACCCTTTGGAGCCCAGGTTTAGTGAGCCTCTGTCTGGAACAGGCAGTCACCAAGTGGCCATGACCTGCTGCTGAGTTATGCTGGGTTGAGGCCCAGGCCCCAGGCAGCTGACCCCAGCCCTTTGCTCCTCTGGAATCCACAGAAGCTGGAGGAGCAGGAGCAGCGGGCCCAGAGGCTCAAGGAGCAGCTGCGCAGCAAGCAGCAGAGCCTGCAGCAGCAGCTGGAGCAGCTCCGGGCGCCGGTGGGGGCTGGTGAACGGGAGCGGCTGCGGGCAGATAGCCTGGACTCCTCAGGCCTCTCCTCTGAGCGTTCTGACTCAGACCAAGGTGAGTGTCCTGAAGCGGAGGGTGGGGTGGGCCAGTGGGCCAGGTCTCCTGACTAGACCTGTCCCTGTGCAGAGGAACTGGAGGTGGACGTGGAGAGCGTGGTGTTCGGGGGTGAGGCCGAGCTGCTGCGGGGCTTCAGTGCGGGCCAGGAGCACAGCTACTCACACAGCGGCGCCTGGCTATGACCCTTGCCACCCCAGAGCGTGCCTCTGCCCTGAGACCACCCTCTGCTCCACTCAGCCGGGCAGGAGCCCTCCCCAAGCCTCAAGGGCTGCTCAGTCACCTCCTGTTGGAATGGACTAAAAGGACCTTGGCATGGGAGCCCGTGCTCCTCCTGCCCCTCCGCTGGCTGCTGCAGTGCCTCCGAGGGGAGAGGGGAGGGGGCCTGGCCTCCCCTGAGCCCAGCACGACAGGCAGCTTAGGCCTGGGCCACCCTTCCAGGCCTTTTTTGTAGCACTTGGTTCTGTTGTCCCCACAGGGACAGGAAGCCTCTTGGGCCCATCTCCACTTTTCTTCCTAGACAAGGCCCCCTGGCCTTTGCCCCATAGATACTGTACAGTGTTTTCATTAAAAGGCTTTCATCATTTCCTGCCCATGGTCTTGCCTGATGAAAATGGGGAAACTCCAGCCACAAAATGGGAAAGAGGAAATGAGATCAGTCACTACAACTAACACTGTTGACTGCCGCAGTGCCCCTTTAATCCTCACAGCTAAGCCGTCTTTCCCCACTTTGCAGGTGGGACTGAGGCCAAGTGTTAGGACTTGCCTGAGGCCCAAAGCCAAGATATAGTGGAGTCAAGATTCGAACCAAAGCTTTCCGACTCCACAGCTGGGGCTGATTGAATTCAACAAGTATTTATTGAGTGTCTATTATGAGCTAGATATTGTTCCAGATACTTGGGATGCAGCAGAGAACAAAACGAAGGTCCCTGCCCTCATGGAGCTTACAGTCTAGTGTTTATGACCACTTTGCCTGAATGCTGTCCGTGACCCTGGGCAAATCTCTCCTCAGCTATCCAATGCAGGAAGCAGGCCTGGCTCAGACACGGATAACAGGTCCGATGCACTGTAGATGCCAAACAGATACCACCTCCAACCCACTACCCAGAGAGTAGATCAGGCTGGAAGTTGACTTTTAATAATAAAATACAGGGGGAGAGCAGAGGGAGTGCAGCAGGTGGTGTGGTGTGCTGCCACACAGGGTCTGCGCTGGCTACACGAACTGCTGCTGCTGCTGCTGCTTCTTGGTGGCTGCCTTGCTGGCAAGGTCCTTGGCCTTCTCTGTAGCTGCCAGTGCCGTCTCCTTTGCCTTCTCCTTGGCTTCCTTGGCTGTCTCAACAAGGGTTTTGGAAGGGGTCTCACCTGCAGCAAAGGGCAGGAGGCTGGCTTGAGAGGATGCCAAGGAGACCCACCTAATCGCTCCCTACGGCATTCACTTCCTGCAAGCCAGGCCCCATCGGGAAGGTGGTATTTGCCCAGGAGCAGATGAGGAGTCCCAGGCTTAGAGAGGAGCAGTGACAGCCCCAGGTTCCACACCAGTCAGGGCACCTAGGACTTGACCCCGACCTGTGCCTGGGAGGTTCTCACCTTGCAGCTTGGCCAAGATGTACTCAAAACCCTTCATTGACTTGGTCACATTGCTTTTGAACCGGGCGAGACCAAATTCCTGGCAAAAGATGAGAAGGGGAAGGATTCTGAGCTGCCCACTGACCCCCAGCCCAGTCTCTATGTCAAATGCCCTGGGCCTCAGAGCCCTAGCACTCCCACAGTCATGCTCACCTGGACAGCTCTGGAGACGCCAAATAAGCTAGAGGAGACCCAAGCTTCCCGGTGGATTTCGGTCCAGCCGCTGTTATCAGAGTTCACACAGTAAACACATCGTTCCTCCACCACCTGTGCAGGGAGTCAGGCCAACCACAATTGTGTGGGATTCTTTCAATTTGCCAACTTCACATAAATTTGATCTCCTGCCTCTTTTCACGAGGTAGAATAAAATGAAAATCCATTCATTTCCCTAATGCACCCCAAGCTGCATTTACAGAAGAACAAGAACATTAAAGTCATTGTGCTCTCTCTAATCTTTCCTCTGACCCTTTAAACTAGAAGGCACATGGAATAGCAGAGGGTCTTCCAGCTCATCCTGCCCCTGGATTTGGTTTTGTAGCTTTGCCTGGTCATGAGTAGAGTTTTCAGCCTGTCTTCCACCTGTTGCAGCTCTTGAGCTCACTGGAAGTCCAAATAAAAATGGAAATCTGGCAATTGTCACAGCTCTCATCAGAGAGGAAAAAGTAGATCGGTACTTCCAATAGAAACCTTCAAAGACCTGTCTCACAGCTGGACTGAAAGACATTTCTTACAGCAGGACCACTATCTTGGTAACAGAAAACAGAGGTAGTGCCCTCAGGGAAGTATGCTGGGGGGCATCAGATAACCCTGGGGCAGTGTATTAAGTTGCCAGCTCATTCTGTGGCCTTGTAGGACACTTGCCCTCTTTGAACCTAACTTTTCTCTTTGCACAAGAGTTATGCTCCCCTACCCTCCCAGGGTTACTGTGAAGATTAAGTGAAAAAGAGAATGAAAGTTTTCTGAAAGCTTCAGGATATTCATACGTGAGAAGATATTGTAGAGTGTTCCTTAAACCAGCGGTTGCCAACCGGTGGTCCGTGAGGTCTGAAAGGTTGGCAACTGCTGCCTAATTTAAAACATATATTTTCAAGTGTTTTTGTTTTCTTAAATTAAATTTATTGGGGTGACATTGGTTAACATGAACATACAGGTTTCAGGTGTGGGTTTCTAGGTTATAAGATCTGTATATTGCACCTTGTGCCCATCACCCATCAAGTTTTAAAGACAAGAGAGCAAAGGTATATAGAACCTCTTTTCCCTAGACTCTTAGGCAGAAATCCATGATGTAAGACACATAAGAGTGTTACTCCTTTAGTCCACATGGGGTACAGGGCCCAGATCCGCTCCCTTCTGAGGCACACCCAAGGCACCCTCATGGCTTGATGGGTTCCTGTTTGAAAACCACTGCCTCCCTCCCTCAGCATCACTGGCTCCCTAGCCATACTATCTGGAGTTCTGAGGGACCAAGGGAGTCTCACCATCAGCCGGGCATGGTTGATGTTCCAGGTGAAGGTGGTCATGGTCTGGTTCTGTGGGTCCACAATAGCATCCTCCAGGATGTACACTGAGTGAGCGACATTGGCAGGAAACAGTCGCTCGGCCCAGCGGGGCATCCTGTTGGTCTTGGTCAGGAGTCTCCGGGACAGGAGCTTCTGGTCAGGGGTCACCTCCCGGTGCACTATGTCTTCCGTCAAGACATGTTTGCTGCAGGTGTCAGGAGGAAGGTGACCTTCAGGAGCCTGCCCTGAGCCTGCCTGCTGCGGCTCCCATCTCTAGCCTCCTGGCCCAGAATGGCCAGGCCTTCCCTCAGACTTGCAGTGATGTGTGTTGTGGCGCATTCCCTTGAACCTATCCCAGGGCAAATTCCGACTCCCGCCCTCTCCTTGACCTGGATTCCTGGGCTTTCCGGCGTGGCCGGCCTTCATGATTTATTGCACCTGCACCGCTGGAGAGAGCCACAGGCAGAGGAGCGCGTCTGGAATTGCAAACCCGGGACCCCTCCCAATTCCTGTGCGGCCGCCTCTTCCTGTCTCGCCACCCAGAGAACCTTGGACTAGGGCCTCAAGGAAACCACCGCCCAGGCCCTCCTCCTTCCAGCACCTTGCAGGCCTGGCCACTTCCTCCAGAGGGTCCTCTGGCCCCCAAGGCGGCCACGGTTCCGGCCATCCCCTACCTCGGACTCGATGTGGAGTCCTTCCCGGTCCCACATTCCGATCTCCAAACGGCGAGGGGGCGGGGTTACTCCTTCCTCGGCTACGTACCTGTAGGGATTCGGGTACCGCTGCCAGAAGGCAGCGAACACTTGGTCCCAGGAACTCCGGAGCACGCTGTGGCCCAGGAAATACTTCACCATTGTCCCGGCCGGGCGGGGTCAGCACCCGAGCAGCATCAGGGGTGCAGAGCCTGGGGGGCACG